TCGCCCCCCAGGGGGGATGGCCACACCACAGTCCCTTTCCTCCATTCTCCTCTCGGGATCTTGGGCGCACACACATGTGCCTGGCGTTCGTTTAAGCACCAAGTCCAGGACTCGAACCACGGTCAGCATGGGAGTCCAGCAACGTAACTGTTACACCATCTGCTGGTCTGGAGCTGAGCATCTTTTTTGGTGCAAAGGCCAATTTAGGGAATGTCAAAATGTTTCGAGATTGTGTTTATTTTCCCCTTTGAAACATATATTTAAATGAAGAAAACCCACGTGGGCATCTTTGGATGCTTAAGCTTTGTCTCTTACTCTCCTCTCCAGCGTAGTTTCGGGGCATGGGGGGAGGACTGGAAGTTCCCCAAGCTATGTAGCGACCTGTCTCTAGGTGACCGGTTGTGTCCTGCACATTTTAATTCGCTGTTGAGCTAGACACTGAGAGCTGGGGTGCCGGTCTTTTCTCGACTGACCTTGTAAGCTATTTAGCTGTGAAATGTGGCTTTTCTTACCGTATTCCTTGCTTTAGTATTCTTCATGATTTGTTTTCAATGTCAGCGATCTTAAGTCACAAAGGAAGTTCACGGTCAGCTTACTTTCAAATGCTTCGTCTTCTTTCTTCTTTTCTTTTTTTCATCGCTAGAGAGCATGTGCCTTTGCCAGAGAGAAGCAGAGGAGAAACCATCCCTAAGTAGGGCATGGTCATGCCGCAATCCCATCGCCTCCTTTCCTTGGGCCCATCGGGATGGGACCCATGCATAGGCGTGCAGGTGCACCCAGCATATTTTGCAAGCCACGGCTGGGTTTGTCCTGTAATTGGCCGTATGGACCCAGCCCCCTGCTCCCATACTCCCGGTCTCAGCCGAGGACCCTAGAGCCCTCTTTGACCCTATTTGCGTTCATCTTCCCCATAGAGAAGGTTTATGGCTTCTTAAAATCGAACCACACCAGGCCGGCCTGGGGTGTGGGCGGGATGGAGCTTCTCTGCTGGTGGGGCAGGGCCAGGAGACCCGTTGTATGTCTGTGCTAGCCGGTACTGTGACTCCCACCTGCAGGTGCAGCAGGTGCTCATTGTGACGTGTCCAGACACCTCAGAACCAGGAGAGGAGAAGCCAGCCAGCAGACCCTGGGTCATCTTGCTGCTCAGCAGTGATGACCAAGAGCAGTCTGGTGCGGACTGCTCTAGGTTTTCAAAGGCAGAGACGGATGCTACCGTTGGCCGACAGGTCTGTGCGCAGATGCGTGCTGTTTTGTGCTGTGTCTCTTCGCCTTTGGTAACAGACCTGGAACCCTCGGAGGCCCGTGAACGGTGTACTTCTAGACACTTTGTGTTCCATCGCAATGGGATCTAGGAGAGGAGCCCGGCTCCTAGGGGAAGAGGAGGAGACTGACATCCGGTGGGTCGGAGCTGGCCTGCGCTGCGTCCTATGATGGGCAGGGTCCCACTCCACGGCCCTGTGTAGTGACCCTTGGTGGTCGACTGTTCATAGACCAGGAAAGGTTTGTGACACGGGGGCAGAGCTGACCTGGGCCAGCTTGCTGCAGCGCCACTGGCCTTTCTGGCTCTGACTGTGGGTACAGCAGGCTGCCCCTTACCCCCCAGCCTCCATCCACTCCAGCCTCCTTGCTGTTCCCCTTCCTCGGGGCCTCAGCCCTCAGGGTTCCCTCTCCTTGAATGCTCTTCCCCCGAGTATCTGCATGGCGCACGCCCTCGTTCCTCTGGGCTTTGCTCAAAGGCTAACACTCCTTTAACCCCCCCTCCCCACACACACACACACACACGCGCGTGCGCTGGCATCCCCCCCCCAGCCGGCTGGCCTTTCCTGCGGCAACTCCCGGTTAGACAGGAACCAGCATTTACAGTCAGGGCCCTTCTCCCGGTGCACTGAGCGCTCCAAACGACGGGGCTTTGGGCTCTTTCAGTCCCTCCCCATCCCAGTATTGCGGGACCAGACTGAAAAGCCGCCGTGGCATTCTTCCATCTTCCTGGCACCCCACACTCTGTTTGTTGGCTCTTCCAGGTCCCTGTAGTGAGCAGTGACACCTCTAAAATGCGAAGGCTTTTCGTGTTGTTTGGGGGAACAGCGAGGGAGGTGGAGAAGAAGGGCTGGGGCGAGAGGAGCCCCTGGGTGAACTCAGCTCCGGTGAGGGTGGGGAGAAAGCCTCCTGGGGGCAGTGAGCGGCTCTGGGGAGGTGGCAGGGGCTGGAGAAGAAACCCTGTGTGGGTTCCCCTCTATTTGAGGTACAATTTTGGAAGACTTCCAAAAGGGGGATTCGAGACTCCTTCAGCCAACCACTAACTTTGTGTGTGTGTGTGTTTGTGTGTGTGTGTGTGTGTGTGCTCACCAGAGAGAGACAGAGAGAGAGAGGGAGGGAGAAAGAGAGGAAGCAGGCCCCCATGGAATATGGTCATGCAATCCCTTCTCCTCCATCTCTTCCTCCTTTTGGGATTTTGGGCACGCAAGCCCATGTGCCCAGTGTGTTTTTCAAACCACCGGGTCAGGGACTCCAGCTGTGCCGTTGGCCATGTGAGATCCAGCCACCTTAATCCCAGGCCACAGTCTGGCCACACAGAGGCTGTGCACACAGGCAGGTCAGCCTCTGCGGCACCGTGTCGGTCGCTGCAGCTTTTACACGTGACGTACTCGGAGCTGTCTTCCGCACCGAGTTTAAGCCAGGTCTGAGAGTGCATCTCAAGGCGCTTAACCTGCATGTCTGCGCCCGGCGGGAAGCCCCCCAGCCCCCCGTGGGCCTCCTTGGGCCCGAGGTGTCCCCAACTAGACGCACACCAGCATCATCGGCATCTGGGGGACTAATTCAACCTCAGAACGCTCTAGAACAGGCTGCACTGGCGGGCAGAAGGGAGGTAAGGGCGTGAGAGGACTTGGCAAACCCCCCAGCCGGCGCCCTACGCGACCTGAAATCCCCACCAGGAGAGGTGTCCCCTTCACAATACACGCTTCCCGACGCCTGCTTTGGATCCGTGATAGAAACTACTCAGCGGCAGGACGGAGGCCCATGCTCCAGAGCCCCGCAGCTCACTAAGGCAAAGGATTTTAATAAGTAGGTCTGCCCTTCGCAGCCCGGGCTTTTGGAAGTCCAGGCTGGGGTCGGGCACTGTTCTCCGGAGCCGTCATGCCTGCTGTGTTTTCTGGACCGCTCTCCCTGGGCTCCCAAGCCAAGTCCAAATGCATCCCTCACACTGTCCCCTCCTGGTGACAGAACTGCTGTTCCGTTCCACTGTTGCAATGTGTAAGGTCAAACAATGGCTTTCCTTGAAGTATTTTACCTGAATTTGATGTAGTCTTTTTTAAAAACATTTTTAAATTTAATTTTTCTAGAGTGCATGCATTTGCTGGAGAGACAGAGAGAGATGTGAGAAAGCACCCCCATGGGGCATGGTCTCGCGGCAGCCCCTCTGCTCCACCTCTCCCTCCTTTCCGGGTTCTGGGCATGCATGCACACACACCTGGCATGTTGCAAGCTGCTGGGTCCGGGACTCGAACTGTTCTGTCAGCCACCGTAAGCACTGCACCACCGGCTGGCCAGAAGAACAATGTCTGTGACTCCCAGCACCCTCCCTGTAACCACAGGCCCTGGGTGTGCAGCGTCAGGGCAAAGGAGCAGGCCGGAGCCTCCTGCAGCCCCTCGGATGGGGAAGAAGTCCCTTTGTTTGGGGTCCAGTCTCAAAAGGAAAGCTTGGCACTGCCTCGGCCTCCCTCCCTGCTCCCCAAGGCCCAGGAACTCCTGGCCCCACCCCTCTGCTGAGACAGAACTCCTAAAGGTCGAACGATCGAGCGATCGACTCTGCACAGATCCAGTGACGGTTCGGCTCTCCGATGAGTTCCCGATGGCTCAGCAACATCCGGCCCTGGCATCCTCCCTCCTTGACGTGCTCCCTGCTCCCCGCACAGCCTCTTCCTCGCAGGGCCCAGCTGGACCCCCGCCGGTGACCTTGCTCTTCCGTGAGAGTTGGGTGGGGGGTGGAGAGTGTGGGCTCCGGAGTGTATGAGTTAAACCCCTGTGCCTCGTCTCCTCACGTGACATGGGGAGAGGAGTGGCCACAACGTCCCCTCTCGGACCGTCATGGAAAGTGATAGGACTAAATGCTCAGTAAATGGCACCTTTCAGCAGTACAGCCTTCTGGACCTTCAGGGTAAAACCCAAACTTCATGGCCAACTCCCACACAGCCAGCTCTGTGGTTCGAGTCCTGGACCCAGTGGTTTCAAAAACACGCCAGGCACGAAATCCCCAAAGGAGAACGGAGGAGAAGGGACTGGAGCGTGGCCATCCCTGGGGGTGCGTGCTTTCTCCTCCCTGCCCCTCAGCCATCTCTCCATGTCTCTCTGGTGAGCACTCACACCCTCTAGCAAAAGCAAAACCTAAGTCCTGTCTCTGGCGAGTCAGAGCCTCTGAGACTTAGCTGCTGTGGAGTTACTGCTCCGACCCCTCCCGAGCCTTTATCCGTGCTGACCCATAGCACAGGACCACCTTGGTCAGCTCCTTCCCCAGGGAGTGAGGGTACAGAGGGCCGCGCCTGCCTGAGCAGCAGTGAGCAGACTGCCCTGTTAGACACCCTCCTGGGGACCAGCAGGTGGCATGGTGGCTAAGGCACTGGACACTCCCACAGGGCCAACCATGGTTCGAGTCCCCAGTCTGGTGGCTTGCTTTCCCACTTTCCCTCTGCACTCTCTCTCTCTCTCTCTCTTGTCAAATTAAAATAACTGAATGAATAAATAAAAAATTCGTTAAAAAAAAAAAAAAAGACACCCCCCCTGAACACAGGGCCTCTCTCCCAGGCAGATTAAACACGCAGGGCGGCAGCTGTGACTGCCACGTCAGCATTTAGCCCTGGCTTTACACACAGTAGGGACTTGCCTCCTCGGCCTAACCGCCAGAGCAGAGTTCTCCTCGGCCCTTCTAAGCCCTTTGCCTCCGAAATCGAAACCCGTATTGATTGCTGGAGCCTGCGTGTGCCTGGTTACGCAGGAAACCCGAGTCCACGCCGCAGGGAGCATTCACCCTCGCAACCTTTCCGGAATGAGGAGGGGGGTTTGGAGCTATGGCCCTGAAATACTGGGAGGCAGGGCGTGGTTTCGAGTCTTTCGGAAGCAGCTGGAAATCCTACCCGCCGAGCTGTTGGTGTCTGCAGAGTTTGGGATTTTCTTTCCATCTGTATTCTGTGTCCTCGGAGTGAGACGCGCTCCGCGGGTGCCAGTGGAAATCTGTAACCCTCCAGACCTTGCCGGGCCCTCCTGAGCTGCGGGGTTCTAGACCTGCCTTCTTCACATGAGCACTGGTACGAGGCCCCTGAGGTTGAGTGCAAAATCAGAGGAGGGGCTTCCTACCAAGCAAACAAACAAAAATGACCCCATTACTGCCATTCTGGGTTGTCATGGCAAAGAGCCTTCCCATCAGTATCCTCTGAGGTCGTGAAGTCACAGAGCTGGGCCCGCTCTGTGGACTGCTGGTGAAGGGAGCCACATCCCACCTGCCCAGCTGTGTGGTTCGAGTCCTGGCCCTGGTGGCTTCACGTGTGTGCCCCAAATCCCAGCAAGATGGAGAAAATGGAAACGGGGTTGCGGCATGGCCACACTCCACTTGGGAGATGCTCTTTCGCTCGCTCGCTCGCTCGCTCTCGCTCTGTCTCACAATTGC